CAGACTTCTGTACAACCCCTTCAATGCAGTTTAATTTTCAGCAAAGCCACATGAGATGATCCTTCCACAGGGATGATGTGGCTTCTCTCCCTGGCCAGACCATCCCACCCCATCCCTTGCTTCAGGACACTTTGCATGGCACAGCAACCTCCCATGGGGACCTGACCCAGCTGAAAACTAACTGAAATAAGAGGTGGGGAGAAGAGGAATTGCTTTTTTGGCCAAAAGAGATGGATTCTCTCACATGGCCACCAGTGGCAGGGAGGAAATGTAGGCCGGCAGCAGACCCAGCACTGATCAGCTCAAACCTCCTTTGAACTCGCACTGAGTCACTAATTTGGGTCTAAATGATGACAGCTGGAATCGAAAATTGCCGGTTTTCTTTCCTGCCTCTCAGTTCGGCTTAGAATTAGACCATAACAACAATAATGCAACTCCACATCTCTCCTCCCTTTATCCCTCTCCATCGGCACCGAGAGGCGCAGAGAGGTGAAACGCCTTGGTATCTGCATGGGAGAGCTGGGAACATCAAGTAGAGGGATTTATCTCCACTAAGCCCTGCTGTGACTAGTAGACCATGCTGTCTTACATTAACAAGCAGATTTCTGCAGTGTTCAGAGTCTGTTCTCCTGCAGAGATTGCTGCAAAGGAGACGGCGGGGACAGAAAGTGCCTCATGCTCTTTAGGGCTGCCCCCCCCACCACACACATCTCCAAATTAAGGGTAAGAAACAGTGAGATGGTTCCTTCCCCCCCAGTGCACTTCACCTGACTGCAGTGGTCCTGGCTCCCTGAGGAAATCAGGTAAAACTGCCCAGGACACCACTTTACTGGCAGTAGAGGCACAGCCATAAGCCAAAAGGACCGGTTAATTTAATATTTGTTTCCAGCCCCTGGGGTTTTCCTGAGGTTAGACGCTGGGTAATCAAGCCATAGAGCAGCCATTCAGCACCTGCTCCACAAAGTCCAAAAGCTCTCCTTAGGAAAAAAAAAAAAATAAATTAGGGACTTGTACCAAAGCAATACTGCAAATTATGCTTCCAACACAATTTGCTGTGGTTCTCTTATTTTCTCCCTTTCCGGCACATCACCACCCACATGAAAGCCAAAAGCAGACTGTAGTACCTGGTTACACGAGGGCAGCCCATCACAGTAGTAATCTAAAAGCTTGTTCCATAATCCAACAATTTTTATTTTTTTTTAATCCAGCAGCCTCATTATAGATTGATTGACACCTCTACCCACCCCAAAAGCCCTCCATCCACTACAGCAGCTACTTCATGAAGTGAGATTGAGAAGAACTTTGCTGCTGCGTGTCCCTGGTGCATTAGCTGAAGTTATTACATCCAGCTGCACAGCATAAAGCTAGAGGAAACAATTTCATTAGGGTCCCATTAGGCTTAGACAGGTTGGTCTTTTTACACGCAAGAGTATAGTGGGGAACAGCTTTGGGCAATAATTGGAATGCACTGCTAAAAACATTATCTAAACTACAGATCTGTATTTACAGGCACAGGCTTCCACCCATCTCTCAGCAGCCCACGATGCAGTTTGGGGTCTGGTATTTAACACGTGGTGGTACTGGCAGCAGCTGGTATCTGGTGTAGGAACTCCTCCAGGTTCCTACAGGAGCTTTAGGTACCACGGGGACACAGGGGTCGTTCCCACTAGTTCCCTGCTTACTGAATAATCCCTGGAAGCTGCCCACTGGGCTGGGGAAGGACTCAAAGAGAGAACATCTTCTGCTGGAGAAATCAGCCCTGCTTTGCTTGGTGCCTTGTGGTTTGCCTCCCTGGCCCACCCTGACCCAGCAAGAAAGCTGAAAGGCCACCAGACAACATCCTTATTACGTTGATTGAGGGTAACCCTGTATGGAACATGGCACAAGTCTTAACGATGCAACCGCAAGAGATTTTGATTTTTTAAAAGGATAATTCAGCGTATCCGTTCAGCTAAACAGAAATCCCTGTGTCATAATAAAGCTGTCATGATGTTCTGGAAATATGGTCTCACTGGAGGAACACATTGTAATTTTATATCCAGCTATTTAAGAAGACGAGGCCAAGCCCTGAGTGACAGACACTTTGATGAAACAACACATGAATTAAACATAATTATACTAGAAAAACAGTAAAAGAGAACTAATCATCAAGGCCCCCATGTTGTACTGCGAGCAGTGACATTTGCATTGGCACAGGGCATTCCCATCCAGAGAGCTCCAAATCCTCCATGAATATCAGTAATTAAATAGTCTGCCACGCAGCCATGGGGAGGCAAGTTTCACTGCCCCCAGTTTTGCAGAAACCAAGGCTGACATCCCACCCCAGCCCAGGGATGCCTGTGAGGGCAGGGGGCTTCTCCACCTCTTCTTTGCTCTTCACTTTATTAGGCTCTTCCCACTGGAAAAGATGCTGCAGGCTCCAGCTAGATCCTTCCCAAAATCCAGACCTAGGATCTGCAGACGTAGTCTCACTAGGAAAGACTCAATGTATTTCCCCTCATAAAATTCAGATGTAATTTTACACAGGCCTGCCTGCTATAAACCTGTCTCCATGCAATGTTCTCCCTATCCATATTTAATCCAGAAAAGAGAATATAACTGGGTTGAGGAAGCCTGCTTTTTTCTAGGCTTCCATGCAAGCTGGATCTCAAAACCCTTCTTTATGTCAACATCAGACAACTGTTTCATAGACTTCATCTAGCAGGGTTGGTAAGTAACCTAAAAATGGCAGATGGAAGCATTAAATATTTATTGGACTGGAGTGCATTGATTTTGGAAATTAACACTTTGCAAATTACTTCTGTGTAAACAGTAATTAAACAGTCGGGCACAGTCCAGTCCAGGTTCTGAGTAAGCTGCAACTCTTTTGGTAAAACATATGTATGCATAAAAAAAATACTAAAGCACGATGAACTAACACTTCTCTGCTGATTTCCATCTGCACACAGCAAATTGTTCCGCGATCATGAATTAAAATTAATTAAAACTTTGGAATGGTCTTCCATGTAGGGCTGGAACGGTGGGAGCCCTCGTGGCCGGCGCTCAGGCATCGCGCCAGTTAAGCTTGCAGGGAGCAGGGGTAGATGATGCCTTGCTTTAAAATACCAAGGACTCCCTGACCTCGTGTTCCCAGTGTAATTAATGCTGGGATTGAACTGGTGACAATAGTGGGATTGAAGTGGTGCTTGTAACAGGGGGAAAAACCATGAGAAAAGTGCAACTGATACAGCCCAGCCCCTTGCAGGCTCTACATGTGTTCCAGGAGCGCGGTCGTAAATAGCATAAAACTGCTATTTGCTTTTGAGCTCTCTTGTTCACGTGGAAATAGATTTGCTCAAGAGATATTGCAGTTTTATTCCCTTAAGCAGAATATTAAACTTCCTCTGGTGCTATTGCACTAGCAGTAATGAGACTTCACGCGATCTTTTCCTTAATGGACCCTTTTTAAAAGAAAATATGTTTTAACTCTGCTTTAAAAGTAGCTTCCTTTTCCAGAACTACAGGTCTTCCTTTCAAACATTGTCCAATATCCTTCCCAGGACTCTTTTCCCATTCACTATACCTTCACAGCCAGGATCTCATGAAGCTAAACATGTCCTGTTCGTTAAGGCAATAGCTGAAGCCTCATTAAAGTTCACGGTTGCTTGTAAATTAGTGAATTGGAAGCTCTGGGTACCATTCTGTAACCTTCACTTCTTCAGCACAGTCTGCTATACACTATATTTTGTTACCGTCGCTGGATTTCTTCCATGCTCTGACTTCATCACTGCTTTTTGACTTTCTCCCTTCCCCCAAAACATATGTACTCAAAAACCCACCAGAAATGAATAAACCCACCTACACGGGGAGGGCGAGCATGTAAATTGGAGTCTGAGCCCTCCCTGCGGCTGCGGTGACGGTGGGGCAGAGGCTCCCCACGGACTGCGCTCGGGAATGAGCAGCTTATCCCCATTTCACAGCCAATGCTGGGCTTTGCTGTGGTGGTCGGGGTGGGGGGGACACAAAGAGGATGTTCTACCCCCCCTGCAAGCTGAGGAGAGATCCTGTCCCCAGGTACCAGCCACTCACAGCAATGGGCAGGAGTGGGAGACACAGAGCAGCACCAGCACCCACCGCAGGAACCCCGACCAGGGCACTGGGCAAAGGAGGAGAAATCAGGGGGGCTCCTCTGGCTTAGCCCAGCCAGGAGAGGACAGGGTGCTGCTGAGAGCACAGGAGAAAGGTTTTGGGTGCAGGGGAGCCGTGGTGTCTGCACAGAGGCAATGAGGAGCAGGGAGGGGATGCGGATGCTCAGGCAGGGCTACACTCATTTTATCGTGCGTACACGCACGCAGGCTGCTTCTGTTTGCTTTCTCCTTTCCTCCCATTTCCAAGGTGCAGATTGGTTTCGTGTCCCCAGGAGCTCCTACGAGCTGGTGAGCAAGTTTGCAGAAGAAGATGAAGAGAACAAGGCTGCCAGGGGACTTTAATGAGAGCTACTTCTATTCTCATGGTGCAGTTAAGAGTCACATAATGAAACAGAGGCTGGTTTGTTTGTTTTTTAATGAGCTCTATTTATATTTGACTTTAACTATCCTCATTCATTTTCTCTGAATCAAACCTCTACTGCTGAAATCTTGTGCATCGGAGTTAATAAAGGGCAGCTATAATCTGATTTACTTCATGGTTCCAAACACGAACATACTCACAGGAGGGGGGTTGACAGTTTACAGCAGCGATGTTTAAAGCGGAGGAATTGACAGTAAAATTGAACATAACTTCTCGGCTGCCTCGCAGAAAGCTGACGTAATCCCACAGACTTGTCTGGAGGCATTTTTCTTCCATGTTGTCGTAACACCGAGAGGTTAAGGCTGCTGTTAAAGGTAGGTTTATGGTTCGCAAACTGGAAGCTGGTGAAAAGCAGGTGCCTTAACCACCAGATTTCATGTGGCTGTTAGGGATGCCTGAGTGTCAAGACATCAGAGAGAGAGGAAAAGAAGTGGAATCGCCTGTGAACTCACCCAAGGAATGCAAGATCCTCCAGCTTTTTACCTTCAATAATGCAGAAAAAAACCCAAACGAATCAAGGGAAGATTGTGGCTCATTCCCTCTATAGAGGATTAACACAAAAATCAGCAGAACCATTCCTTTGACTTCTTCCTTAAAATAAAGAAGCCACTGTTCACAACATAGCTAGAAATCTGAAATGGAGGTTTTCTCCTTGGAGGAAGAAATTTTGCCCCTATCTCCCTACTTAAGCTTTTAAACAAACACAGCCTCATTCTAGAGGAGCAGCTGTGTAATTAAGCCAATTTTAGGATGAACACTGTGATTCAACAGCCAAATACTATCTTAATTATATACATTAATATTCTGCTAAGAAGATGCTTGTCAAAAAGAAAAGGGAAAAAAAAAAAAAAAAAAAAAAAAAAAAAAAAGAAAAAAAAAAGGAGGTGTGTTCAAAAAGCCCTGAACATCAGGGCCAGGGTTGTTCAAAATATACAGAGATTTTCTTGGCTACAGACTAAACAGAAGGACCTTGTTTTCATTATTTTTGGCAGGGTGGCAGATACACTCCACTTATTCAGGGTAAAGTGGGAACAGTGACAATGAAAATCCTTATCTGAATAGCCTGCAAAAAGAAAAGGAAAAAAAAAAAAAAGATAATTCATGTTATTGCACAAGGAAGGCCACTAAAAATATTAAAAAAAAAAAACAGAGAAGGGTGCCAGTCTGAGATATGGGGGGTGCCTGCATGGGAGTGAAAGAGGCTGCCAGCTGCAGAGGAAGCAAGAAGAAAGTGGCCAAAAGTCCTCTGTTGTCAGAGGTGAATACTGAATGAGAGACTTCTGTGTCACAGGGAGAGTCCCCCCGCGGCTGCCTCAGCTGCCGGGGAAGGATTTTTGGCTGTGAACTCTTCTGTTTTGCTGTGAAGACATGCAAAAAGGAGGGTGTTCACAGAAAGAGGCAGCAAAAAGGCGAACCAGAGGGTTAGAGAGAGGAGCCCTCACGTGTTTGGTTGGGCACTGGGGTGCCCTCCTACAGTGGGGACACACTTCAGTCCCCATCTACGGACCACCCCGGTTGCTGGGAGGTGGGCGAGGGGCAGCGACTGGTCCTGGGTGGCTGGTGGGGGACCTTGGCTGGCAGACACGGAGGAGCACAGGGGACCAGAGGAAGGCAGATCAGGAGCTGGGGAGCAATGTCTGTCACTGCCCCAAATGGGACAGAGCATCCCTCGTTGGGAAGCAGGGACAGAGCATCCCTCGTCAGAGCTGCGGTGCAATCCCACGCTGCTCTCCCGCCTCCAGCTGAGGCTGCATTGCAAAACCACAGCATCAACTGCTTCAGAGAGAAAAGAAGGGATTTCCTTGTGGGTTAGGAAGCCACAGCGGGGTGTGAAACTCTTGGTTCCCACTATGGACAAAAAAACCCCCAAAACACAATGTCTCAGAAAAGCCAGAGCTGCCTAGCTTGTACTGGAACACTGATTTAAAGGGAGTTTGCAATTGCACAATAGCAAGAGCCCTCTGGTCTCAGGTGCACAAGGTGAGTTTGGGGGATTTCTGGCTCACAGCCTCACCACAGGGCCCTGTGCTCCCGTCAGCACCGAGCAGCGGGGCTGGCTCCATGTGTCAACAGGAGATCTCCAAGGAAAACCCAGGTGCTGCAGGAAGCAGGGCTGGGAATACAAAAGCATTGCTCTTTCTGCTGAACAGGCAATGAACCGGCATCATCGTGCAGAGGTGCTGTTTGGGATGAGCCTGTGGTGCAAGTGCAGAAAAGCCCCAGCTGGCTCAGGTTAAGGCTGCAGCGGGGCTGCATTGACCACCCCAGGGCATGGGCAGGGCCAATGTACCCTCCTGAGATCCCCACAGGTGAAAAAAGGGATGCACACATTGGGATGAGCTGGCACGGTCCAACCTGTCCTGGAAACTGAGTCTCTCCACCTTGGGCTGTGACCAACGAGAAAGTCTGATAATGTCCCCTGTGATGGTGCTTTGCATTTTATGGTGCTTATGGGAACAAAACGCCAGCCAGCTCTTAAGCTAGATCAAGTCAGAATCAGGTCTAAATCATCCTGGATAGTTTTATGTTTGGCTTTGCAAAATCAGAGCTCAGTGAAGAGCTACAGAGACCCGTGCGTTAAGCAATGACAAGGAGAGGTGGCATCAGGGTGTTCCCTGGGACTTAAGGGTTTCTGTCATGTCCACCAGTAGTGTCCATACACATGGCCACAGCACTACCTGCTCCCAGACAAGAGTCACCAGTCCTTCATTGCAAGACTGTGATTTAGGTCTCAGTTCTTGCTCCCCATACATTTTTACTTGTAGACCCCAAAGAAACCCCACTTACCCCCCCAGCCCTTTGATTCTTGCAAAAAAACATGAACTCCAGCACATCTCTCTGCAGCAGAAACACGCCAGGAATATTCGGAGAAAGATCATTTTCTTATCCCATCCCAAGCTGGTTTAAAAAATGATGCCTACAAATGTGTAAGAACTCAGTATCCAAATGACATGTGGCAGAAACACAGTAACATGGCTCTCCTGGAGATAAACGCTCTATTCTGCATACAGCAGAGGGAAGGACAGGTTGAGGGCTGAGCTCCCGTTTAGCAGAGTCATTTGTCCAAATCCCCAAGCCCTACTAAGCCAGGGGCCATGGTGGTGAGGAACAGCTGCTCGGTCCCTCTCTTGCAGAACAATCTGGAAGCAGAGACAAACTTTGCCTTCAAACCAGTCCCAAGACTTAACTGCATGAAGGCTGTTATGCTGGCACAGGGATGGCAGCAACATTTTTCCTTAGGGCTGGAACAGCAACCTGGGGTCCAGAGACCCCAGTGTCTCCTTCACAAAGCAGAAAACCACCAGTGCCTTCCAGAGAAATCCCAGGAGCCCAGCACAGAGATGGATGGGATGGGATGGGATGGGATGGGATGGGAGAAATTCAGTAAGGGGAACCCAGACTCTCCATTTTAACCTCTAAAAGGTTTAGGAAACACTTCTCTCTCCCTGCTCAGGGCAGCTTCATCGGCGTGCTTTTGACATTACAGAGGTAGAGTGGTGTTTTGGACTTTGCCTCTTGCAGCTTGTCACACGCAAAGCTAATAGCCCCAGTGCCTTCCCCTGGGAAGGGGAGATGCAAGGGCACCCATCTCACAAACAAACGTTGGATTGTTACTCATCTTAACTACACAGAGGGCCAAGGTCTCATTAATTAGCACTGACATTTACAATGGAGGCCACGAGATATGAACGATATGAAGATGGATGAATTCCAAGAGGATTTAGGAGCTAAAAAGGGCTGTGGGGGATGGTTGGTTTGTTTTTTTTATTCTGAGTTTTCCATGTGAAGAGGGACTATTGACATTTGAATTTGCTTTTGTATTGGAATAGGAAACATTCATGTATCTACATCCCCAGGTGCTGCACACTGCTCAAATGAAAAAGGGACCCTTGGACTCACCCGTCTCCAGCCATTGGACTTATGTGAGGACCTGAAGGTCACAGATCAGGAGGTGTTTGGCTGAAAGGGTCTGGCTTAGCTTGGGTTCAGAAGATTTAACAAACAAAAAAGGAAAAATCAACCAACTGACTGCCTCTACCAAAGCGGGGTCAAGCTCATGATAAAATAAAACCATCTGCTCTTTCAAACTTTCATCCCAAACCAGAATAAACCTATTTTGATGTTCTTGTGGACTTGGCTCTTTCCACTGTCTCTCATATGCTCCAGTTGACATTATCAGGCATTCAGATTCCTTGGATGAGATCCTCAGGCATCAACCAGTGGGATTAAAATAAAGATCAGTTGAAAACAAAAGCATTGGTGGTTCTTTTGTACGCTTTCTGATTTTTAAGCCATTAGGTCATACTCCTTTTATACCTTGCAGCTTTTCTCTGTAACAGAGAAGTACATAAAATAGAGGGGGGTTTAAGCAAAAGCTAGGATTCTCATGTAATCCCTTCAGTCCAGCAGCTGATGCTTTAGGAAAAAAATCAGTTATAATGAGAGCTAGAAAAGCTGCCCCAATTCACGATTCTTTTCTATATGACAATTCCAACAGCAGAAACAACTGCCGTGTTTCCAAGCATTAAGCAATCCCATTTCTCACCTTCATCCCTACAGTGTTGCGGATCCCTAGGAAAGGGTCTTCAGAATTCAACAGAGAAACCCAAATTTGACTCTGGAGAGGTAACTCACTGGCAGTGACACCAGGGCAGGGGAAGTTGGGCAGAAGGGGAGCACATCCGGTACTTGATCCCAGTCCACCTTTCCTCCACCTCAACCTCCACCACCTCAACCTCCATATCCTCTCCAGGGTAAAGATGGGAGGGTCACACACTCACATTGAGCTCTGACGTCTCCTTCCCTCTTCCCTTCCCAACCTGTAGATTCAAAACTCACCAAGACATGAGTATGCCATTAAGATAGAGAGCAGAAGGGTTAACATCTGCCATCTGCATCCTCTGGAGAGGCAGGAGGACATGTAGTGTATGTCTCTGAGGAGTGCCATCAGTGAGCAGGGACAACACCCTCCCTTTATTTAAAACCTTATTTAAGCCAAGTCAGAAACCCCCATCACCTCTGGTGTGGTTTTCCACAGCACAATACATCAAATGCTAACAAGAGCTACGATCCTCAAAACAGCTTTCCTCTCTCCTTTTGCCATCCTGCTCATCGTGATGTCTGGGGCTATAAAAAGGCACAGCACAAGAGCATGTCTCTCATTCTCATCTGCTTCCGTGTTTATAACCATCGCTTATCTAATGACACTTAGGAAGTGTTACCAAGGAGACTATTTGCATCCTGCACGATGTTGCTAAAGCAACACTGCTAAATTAGATGCGGCGCTCTTAGCCTTCACCTACAGTATTTGCATTGCTATTAAAATGAAATAGTCACAGGCTTAGGCTATATTTGGGTCACTCACTCATCCAAACACCTGAAAATAGTCCAATGGCAGCAGCTATGGAGTTCCCCCTTAAATCCAGCACATCTAGGTCTCCATCTCTTACACGTATTTCCAGCTTGCCTGT